TGCATATGAGGTTATTGAAAATACCATGGCTTGGGTCAGGCGCACCTTAGTCCTCAAGCTAACATCTTTGCTCTTCAACACTTTAAAAAGGTCTTATGTAGCAGATTTACCTAATGCAATACGTCGGTTTTTTTGAGAAATTACAAAACACACAACAGTAAAAATGAGTCTTTAAAAAGGTCTTGTGTAGCAGATTTACCTAATGCAATACATCGTTTTTGAGAAATTACAAAGTACACAACAGTAAAAATGAGCAAATAAGAATAATTTGTATTACCTCCTGTTGTTTGTGTTATTGTTAACTTCAGTTGAGTTGATTCCAACTCATAGCGACCTGTATAGGGTTTCCAAGGAGCAGCTAGCAGGTTTGAACTGCTAACCTTGTGGTTCAAAGTCCAGTGCTGATTCCACAGCGCCACCTTTTAACCCATTTTAAATAACCAAATTTCAGCACAAAGGGTTCAATGATTTAAGGTACTCATTTTAAACTGCAAAGGGCTGAATGACTTTCTCCCATATGATTAAATTCAACACTTTCCTATGGACCAACCTGCCTGCTGAACTGATTAAATACTTATATTACAACTTGGGCTTTGTCAGCTTTTAAAAGTATATAACAGAATTAATCTTCACTTTGAGATTCTAGGACGTTGTTATCAAAGCAGTTTACTAGTTTGAAAATATATCTTTAAACTTATAAAGATAACAAAAAATTATGTGAAAATATCTGATATTAATGTTTTCTTTAGGGAATTAATGCTAATTATTTTTTTTCTTTAAGTTTTTATTGTGAATTGAGGGAGTTTACAGCGCAGATCATCAGTGTTACATTCAACAAATCATACAACTTATTTCATCACAATGATTACACTTCCCTCCATGTACCATCAGCTAACAGTATTTCTTTATATACACTTTAGCTCTTTAAAGAAAACAAACTCAGGCATATATAATAATTTCTACCACCAAAGGGCACATCGTGCAAGTCTGCCTCATGGCCACCATCTCTTAGTCCCTCTCTTCCCATGAATCTATAGCCCTCAGCCGCAAACCCTCTCCATATGCCCATCTCTGCCTCCATCTCTGGTGTCGCTGCTTCTCTGGATAAAGTTGCCCATACTTATCTATCCTGTGTACAGAGGGGATAGCATTGATACTTGATGTGAAGACTCCTTCCTTCTCTGTTGGTATTTAGAGTTACTACCTCCATGAGTATTAGGAGCTCTGGTAGCGTAGTGGTTACGAATGGGACTATGAACTGCAAGGTCAACAGTTCGAAACTACCAGCCGTTCCATGGGAGAAAGATGAGGCTTTCTGCTCCCATAAAGATTTACAGCCTCAGAAACCCTGTACAGGGTCCCTATGAGTCGGAACTGACTCCACAGCACATAACCACCACCAACCACTTCCATGAGTATAGGACAGGGTCCTCAAATTGTAGCAATTTACCTTGTTTCCTTTATCAAAAATTGTTTTGTTTTTTTAATCTTCCTCTTATCAAGCCATCAAGACTGTCAAATGGGTACTATCTGCAAATTTGGGTGTTTCTTGTGCCTCTCCCCTCACTTCATGCCAGCTGGACGCTTCACTTTTAGCTCTATCCCTCTGAGGCTATGTCCTTGTTCTTGGGCTCAGGTGCCCCCAGGTCTCACCACACATTGGACCAGCAGCCCTTCCTCTTCTCTCTCTCATCTCCAGGTCAACAGGAGTCAATGGACTGTGGCTGAACTCAGCCCATTTATTTATTGCTGCCTTCCCCCTCTTCCAGTCACCAATAGACCAATGTGCTCACGAGCAAGCTTTGAGTTTCAGTCTTAGAGAGAGGTTTGTCCTGAAGGAACTTGATTGTTTGCCTTGATGGCTTCTTGGCGAACAGCTTGCTTATTCTTGCAGTAGCCAGTCATACAGCCATTTTTGTTTTGTTTTTTTCCTAATGATCTTTCTTTGAAGATGCATCTTCTGTCACTCTAGCTGTTCCAGACTGGTCTGCTTGTCCTTTCTAGTGGGAATGTCCCACCTCAGAAGGTTCTAGATGGGACTCAGGATTCCACCTAATGTCCTATACTCTGCAAAGGCTCTGCAAGAGGCCAGTTTCACTGGGCAAGTTCTAGAACCCCTTTTAGGTATTCCAATGCTAATTATTTTTATTGTGACTAAAACTCATACTACATAATACTTTTTGATAGCATCAACTATATTACAGATACATGTTTCTAACTAGAAATATATATACTTCAGAGAGAATATTGTTGTTGTTGTTAAGTGCCACTGAGTAGGTCCTGACCCATAGCAACTCTGTATAGGGTTTCCGAGGAACGGCTAGTGAGTTTAAACCACTGATCTTGTGGTTCTAAGCGACTTTGCAGTACAGTGCATTAGTCCACAGTGCCACAACAAGACTCCTATATTCTCCTTTAAAGTCTCATTTTAAGAGAAATATTATGGCATTGCAGGTTAATGTGCTGGGCTGCAAAGTCGCTTTTAATAAGGTCAGGGAAATCTTATACAGGGTGTCTATGAGTCGGGATCGACTAGACAGCACTGAACAACAACAATAACATATTTCTAGTATAAATAGATATATTTATTAATTTTAAGGAAACCAAAGCACCCATTTACATATGACCTTTCAAACCTATTCTACTGCTAAAAATTTTCTCAACTATTCACGAGTTTAAGGAAGTAGAAGCTAAACAAGTAAATAAACCTAATGCCTAGAGTACTTACCTCTTTATAAATTGATTTAAATATCCTCAAGTAGCCATGGCTACCTTTTAATTTTAAAATATTTTAATTATTTATGGAAAGCAATTTTGTTCTTTGTATGTGGCAATTAATACATCATGGTTGCTGTTAAGTGCCATGAGTTGGTTCCAACCCATAGGGAGCCTATATAGAGTTTCCAAGTAGCGACTGGTGAGCTTGAACTGACGACCTTGCAGTTCAAGAGACTTTGCATCCCAGTGCATCAACCCACAGAGCCACATCTTTAATGTTTCCTGGAGATTGGTGTAAATCTGTGAATAGTAATTCTATTCTAATAAGACTGAAACATTAAGCATTCTGAAGTCACCTTTATTATTTCTTAAGAAGCAGTAAGGCTTGTATCCAATTAACACTAGGCTTCATTGTAAAATTTCAAGCTTATTACAAAGAGAGGAAAAATGAAAACATTAGTGCTGTTACCTTTTAGTCTGTGACTTAGAATCTGCTCCAAAATAGCTGCAAAATTGTTAAATTCAGGAGAAGAATCATCAATTGTTTCAAAGCAGGACCTATCAATTAGGGTCTTCACAGAAAACCTATGAAAACAGAGAGATAAATTTTCTTTTTTAATAAGAGTTGATTCATTAACCTAAGTAAGAAAAATAGGAGGAAAACAATTTTTGAAAGAAATATTAGGATTGTATATTCAGAAAACCCAGCTTATTCAAATCCACCCTGTAAATATAAAACTTTATTATTTTTCCCTAGAATTATCAAAATTGTCATTTGTTGTTGTTGTTGTGAAGTGCCATCGAGTCGATTCTGACTCATAGCAACCCTATGTAGGGTTTCCAAGGAGTAGCTGATGAGCTCGAACCACCGACCTTGCAGTTCAAATGAATTTGCAGTCTGATGCATCTGAGTATAAAAAGGAGCATCAAAAAGTTTATGGAAAAAATGGAATTAAAAGATAATGGATAGAGAGAAACACTGTAAACTGATGATATATGGCGGGGATAATAATCAATGTAATGAAACAAGCTATATGAATGGTTGAATGTGAAGCTGATGATGTGCCCTGTAAACTTTCACTCAATGCAAAATAAAAACATTAAAAAAAAAAAAAGATAATGGAATTTTTCCATGAACTTTTTGAGGCCCCCTTGTATTTATTATCTATTCACCAAATTAGTGCCAGAATTGCTCACTATCTTTACAGCCATTAAAATCAGAAACATTAAAATATGACATAAATTATTAACTCCAGAATTTGAGCTTCAGGACCAAATGCTGTAAGTTTCTGAGCACAGAACAGAATAGAATACGAGCATTCATTCAGGATAGATTTGAATGAACTACAAACAGTAAAACTTGCAAATATGCAAAGTGTGGCAGAGCTCTTTCCTTTCTAACAGAATATCCTTTACCTTTATTTGTGACTGCCAAATCTTAATGTGTTTTCCAAGCCCAGGCTCAAATGCCTTCTCTTCAATGAAGAATTATCCTACTGATCTAATGAGAATTATTTTCTTCCTCCCGGAACAAACCAGTCCATCCTCTATTATCTCCTTAAGAGATAACTGCTATTTATCTTAATGTTTTTTGTGTTGTCTACCATCCCTTCAGGACAGAAACACCTTCTAAACGGGTACTTTACGGCAATGCCTTGAGCAATGAACTCTGATTTATTTGTAAGTTGTGTTTTGAAAGAATAGCAAAGAAGCATTTAAATACAGGTATTATGTCAAGACAAAATATAGTTTATGATTTTTAATATATTTATGTTATTGTTGTGTTGTTAAGTGCTGCCAAATAAGTTCCAACTCATAGTGACCATGTGTAGGGTTTCCACGGCTTTTTAAATCTTTGTGGATGGAAGCTTCATCTTTCTTGGCTTGGTAGACTTCAACTACCAACCCTGTGGTTCCCAGTCTAGTCCTTTTCCTATGGCGCCTACTCTTTCTCTATGTATAGATTTATAAAAACACGGTCAAAATAATGACTCAAAATAGTTAAACCCTATAAAGATTGAAAGACTGCATGACAGGTTGTTAAATAATTAGGAATGAATAGGATATGAGGAAGATAAGAGGAACACAGTTAATTTCTAGACTTCAGGATTGATAGCTACAGTAGTCAATCATGATAAAAAATATAGGAGGCAGATAAGGGAAAGACAAACAGCATATGATTAGACACAGTTCATTTCCAAATATGAAGTTATTTCAAAGGTGAGAAATCATTTAAAATAATTCCTAATATGTGTCAATGCTAATAATGAAGAAAAAGAATGCTCCCAAAGTTTTAGTACTTAATTGTTTACCAGCAGCCTGTTCCTGGGTTACAAACAAAATCTCTTCTTATGTGTATCTATGTTGTTTTTTGCTGTTGTTAAGTGCTATCCAGTCAGTTCTGACCCACAGCAACCTTGTATAGCATTTCCGAGGAGCAGCTGGCGAGCTTGATCCACTGACCCTGTGATTCAAATAGACTTTGGAGTCTAGCGCATTAACCACTCCACCATACCAGGACTCCATGGGTACCTATAAATCTAATTATACCTCTAAGTCAAACCTGTAAGTAAATTGGAACAAGTGCATACACTTGTGACTTAGCCTTGCTTTAGTGCAAGGCAAGGCTCAAAGCCTTTTCAATGATTTAAATGCTGCATGTGCATCAAGTGAAGGTGAGTGTGAAGAAAAGTTGTAGGGAGGGGTAGGTTCAATTGTTTCAAAACAAATTTACATTATCATTAAAGAGAAAGCGGAAGAAGCTCTGGTAGTACAGTGGTTATGAATCGGGCTGCTACTCTGAAGGTCAGTTGGTCGAAACTACCAGCTGTTTCGTGGGAGAAAAATGGTTTTTCTGCTCCCGTAAAGATTTACAGCCTCGGAAACCCTATGCACGATTGCTATGAGTTGGAACCGATTCCACAGCCCACCACCACCACCAAGCGGAAAGTGGAGTCCTGGTGTAGCATTATAGGATAAAATACTGGACCAGGGCAGTTTGAACCACGAAGTCAATGGTTCACACCCACCAGCTGTTCCTCGGAAACCTAATACATGGTTGCTCTGAATCAAACACTTAACAACAAAAGGGAAAGTAGAAGTTGTCCATACATGTCTGACTTTCCTGACCAGTGAATTGCATATATATCCAGCTTTCCTCCTAGTAACACAAATAAAAGTATCAAAATTAGTTCCCCCGAGTTCGTGGTTTACTTCTAGCTTCCCAACTCTTTGCACTCAACACGTATTTCTCTAGAAACATGTAGCTGCTCCATTAAGCCAGAGTTCTTTCCTCCATAACACTCTAGCTAACTTATGCTATAAAAATGAAACTTGTAAAAAGAATTTCAATATTATCACAGGAGCTCTGGTAGCGCAGTGGTTACAAATCGGGGTATGAACCACAAGGTCAGCAATTCGAAACTACCAGCTGCTCCGCGGGAGACAGATGAGGCTTTCTGCTCCCGTAAAGATTTAAAGCCGCGGAAACCCTATTCAGGGTCAAGTATGAGTCGGAACCGACTCAACAACACTTAACAACAACAACAAATTATATCACACAGATGCCAAGCTATTTCCTGATAATTATGGCATTAACATTAGTCATCTATTTCCTGAACAGCACTGATTTTAAAATAATGAAATGACAATTTGATAAATATCTAAAAATATCAAAGCAAGTCTAAGTGACAGCTTTCACCCAATCATTTTTAAAGTCACAAAACTGCATTTAAAATATCATAGTCTTGAAATCTTTTTGTTTAAAAAGATTCTCTTTCCAGTTATCAATGTCCAAAGCAAATTTTTATTAGTGTTAAAATAAGAAAGAATGCTTGTGACTAAAACCTTTAAGCCTCAGAAAGCATGAACTCCCTTTTTCCTTTGGCAACATACAAAGAAAAATGAGATAGTTACCAAACTTGTGCCTTAAAAAAACTCCAGCACACACATATGAAATTAATTTCTTCAGTAATTTACCACCTGCTCCTTGGAAATTGTATAGTGTAGCTGTGAGTTGGAACTGACTCGATGGCACTTAACAACAATAGCAACAATAATTCACAGATTTGTCACAATTACACTTTAAAGAAAGCAAAAAACAGGAGAACTATGCAATGAAATAGAAAATAATGACTTTGTTAAATTTCTATAGTCCTGGTAAGGCACTGTGGGCTAAAGCACTGGACCACAAGGTTGGTTTAAACCATAAGGTTGGCAGTTCACACTCATCAGCTGCTCCTTGGAAACCACATACAGGGTTGCTACAAGTCAGGACTGACTTGACGGCACTTAACACCACCACCAGCACACAGGGAAGAAAATATTTTTTAAAATATATAAATTATGTTTAATATTCAATATCATTAATATTAATTGCTCAGTACATATGCTCACTGAACTCCTGATGTGGCACTGTATGATAAGCACTGAACTGCTAATCACAAGGTTAGTGGTTCAAACCCACCAACTGCTCTACTGAAACCCTATACCAGGTAACTATGAGTCAAAACCAACTCGATGGTACTTAACAACAAAAACAATATACTATTTGAGCAAAAAAGAGATGTGTCACTATCCCTTTACAATAAGCATATATAATAACCACTTATCAAAAGTTACATCAGATGGGAAATTCCCACTTGAAAGGACAAGCAGACCAACCTGGAGTGGCTAAAGGAACAGAAGATACTTCTTGAAAGAAAGACCTACAGGAAAAATATAAAACAACATAGGCAGACCGACTGTTACTACAAGAACAAGCAATTTGCTTGCCTAGGAAACATCAAGGCAAGTGGTC